ACACAACTTCTGTAAGACATGTGAGCGATGCCAAAGGACTGACATCATCTCGCGCCGAAATGAGATGCCCTAACTACCTCTCCTTTCTGTGAGGTGTTTGATGTATAGGGCATAGATTTTATGGGTCCCTTTCTTGTTTCATTTGGCTGTACCTATATTTTGTTAGCAATGGTCTATGTCTCCAAGTGGGTGGAGGCAAAGGCCACTCCTACTGATGATGCTCTTGTTGTAATAGATTTTGTGAAGTCACATATTTTTTGTAGGTTTGGATTTCCCAGAACATTAATCAGTGACCATGAATCACACTTTTGCAATTGCACAATGGCTGCCTTACTTAGGAAGTTTGGGGTTACGCATAAAGTTTTCACACCATACCACCCTCAGACTAACGGACAAGCAGAGATCTCCAATCGAGAAATAAAGTAAATCTTGGAGAAGACTGTCCAACCCAACAGAAAGGATTGAAGTCTATGCTTGAAGGAAGCTTTGTGGGCTTACAGAATCGCCTACAAAACACCCATAGGAATATCTCCTTATTGGGTTGTTTTTGGCAAGGCATGTCATCTACCAATAGAAATGGAGCATAAGGCATTATGGGCGATCAAGCAATGTAATTTGGATATAGGGGCAGCTGGCTCACATGGGAAGCTTCAATTACAAGAGTTGGAGGAGATTCGTAAAAAAAAATAAAAATATGAGAACTCCAACATCTACAAGGAACACACCAAGGCTTTCCATGATAAGCTAATAGAGAGTAAAAAGTTCCACATTTGTGACAAAATTCTTTTATATAATTTTAGACTTAAGTTGATGCCCAGTAAATTGAGATTTAAGTGGGATGGTCCCTTTCTTGTTATTAACGTTTTTCCTTATGGTGTTGTTGAACTTCAAGATATGGAATCGCAAAGGAACTTCAAGGTTAATGGGCATCAGCTCAAGGTTTTTCATGAGGGCTTGGGGGAACATGAACAAGAGGAGGCCACTTTTGAATTGGCCACTTACCCCGATTTATAGGGTGTTTTCTTACCTCTCTCTCTCACTTATTGGATTGTTTGAATTGTCCTTATGCTTATTGTGTTTTCCATTAAGGACAATGTTAATTTCAAGTGAGGGAGGGGAGTACTATGTTTTTGGTGTGTACTTAGTCTAATTAAGTGACTATTTCATGGCTTTGACGAAGTGGACTTTGATATCTTGTGTGTTTGATTATTTGTGATAGAATATATATACCTTGTGAGATTTTGAGCCATATATCCATTGTTTAAGCCCCCTTGAGCTTAATTATCCTATTTCTTGTGATCTTAGCTCATTTCAAGCCAAAGGTGTAAAACAATAAAATGACCCAACCTTAAGGGATACAAGAACTTTGCAATTGTTTTAGGAATGATCATAGAAATAAGTGTGGGAGAGATTACTTTAGAAAATGCAAGAGAAAAGAAAAATCAGCTACTAAAAAAAATAGAAGAAAAAAGAGAGGAGAAACAAAGAAAAAAAAGAAGTAATAAAAAGAAAAATGAACATTGGATGGCTAGCAAAAGTAAAAAAGAATTGTTTTTAGATTGTATTACATTATATTTAGGGGATTTACTTTCATGCTTACTTTCTTGAGATTCATTCCTCATTGTTCTTATATCCTCTTTGGTTTTAGCTTGATTACATTTGTAATTTTTCCACCGTCACTATGCCCCTTTATAACCTAGAAAAGTCCTTTTGATTTTTGTGTGTTTGTGTGAATTTTAGCGGAGAAGTATGCAATGGACAATCTTATGGATGATCATGCTTCATGTTGTGCATTTTGAGTGACACACTTTACCTTATATACTTGAGTGATTGAGAGTATATCGTGTGAGGATTCTATCTCTTATGGTTCATTCACTTGATTTGATAAATTCATTTGTCAATTTGAAGTGTGAGGATCAATTTCCATTCTAGCCATGATATTTGAACTTGATGGGCTTTATACCCAACCTAATTTGTTTTAGGTCCCTTATGGTTTGATTTTGTGATTTGCTCCAGAGGAGAAAATTTTAAGTGTGAGAGAATTTGATGTGACATATTTTAGGTTTATATTTATAGTTTTATTTTAATTAATAAATATTTTTCATATGCTTTATTTTTATAGTTTTTATCATTTTCTAGTTATTTAAATAAACTGGGCTTGTTATAAATAAATGCTTTAATTTCGTATTTTCGGTTATTTTTACCTCTGACTACTCTTTTGGCCATAACTTTTTCTACAGATATCATTTTTGGCTGATTCTAGTTGCATTGGATTTTACACAGCCAGGGCTTCAAAATGCATATATAGATCACTGGATTTGGAGTTATTTTCGAGTTTTTATGATTTTTTGAAGTTGAGGCAGATTTGTTGAATATTGTTGCGGGATTGCATTTGGACCCTTGTTATTTAATAATTGTATTTGGGCTTTTAGATATTAATAAGGCCCACATTTTAACCACTTAATTTACCCTAATCAGAACCTATAAATAGACTAATAAGGTTCTGAATTGAGAGTGATTAAAAACTTTAAGATTTTGAGACTTGGTCGAAATAAGAATCTTTGTTTTTACTTTCTCTCGAACTCTCTTGTTCTTTTCTCATTCTTGTGTGGGGTAAGCGTTTTGATGGAAGGCTAAACCTCTCATTTAATCTGTGGAATCAAAACGTTATAATTCTGACTTGAGTTCTGCGCTAAATTGCTTCGAGTTTGTTTTCTTTTCTCTTTAATCTCAGAATTGTGTATTGCGATCGTAATTGACTTTTCTGTTATTAGAATTCAAATTAGGACGCGATTGATGCTCTGATTTGATAATTAATGCGGATTAGGTTAAATGATTATTTGTTTTAATTTGTAACTCTATTCAATTAGGATACTCGACTGAATTAATAATTGAATTAGGTGATTATTCAAACGCGAATTTAAATCTTTAGATACTATGATAGTCAGTGTTATATGCAATTGGTATTCTGTGGATTGATGTTTCTTAATTAATTTTTTATTCATTTTAATTCTGTCTGTAATTTAATTTAATCAATTTGTAATTTTCAAAACCCCCAAAAACCTTATTTGCATTCTTTAAAACAAAACCTAAATTTAAATTTGACTGAAAATGTATCTCCGTGAATCGATCTAGGTTTGGCTTTATATTACAAAATCTTTAAAAAACTTAATTATTTTGATAATGACTCGGCATCGTCTATCAATCGCTTAGGCGAGGCCTTATAGGAAAAATATCCTTCTCTTTGGACGCCATCTCGCTCAAGCGAGTATATCAGAAAAAGCTGGGTGTGACCACTATCTGCATATCTTATTCAGGCGAGATATCCCTCGCTCAAGCGAGATGTCTGTTACTTAAGCGAGCTATTCCTCGCTCACACGAGAGCGCGTGGAGCTGAGGGGTATTTAAGAGATTTTCATCACGGAAATTTCATTGCATTCCAAAGTTACGTTTTTCTCTCAATTTTCTCTGAACTCTTTCTTCATTTTCCCTAGATAAAAGTCTCAGAAACTCCGATTACTCATCAAATCCTAGTTTGGACGTTGAATTTAAGCGACTTCAAGTAAGTTTCTTCAGATTAAATTTCATTTTCTCTGATCGTTTCTTGCATTTTTTTATTTCTTATGGATATCTCTTGGTATTTAGGAGAACTTCCATAATTGATCTTTGATCTTCTTTTATATCTCTCCATAAACTTGTCTTTGAGGTAAGGAGGACTCTCTTTTATCGTTATATTATAATAGTTATTTTGTGCTCATTAGAGTACTGTTACATGAACATTTTATGAGAATATGTGATTGAAATATCTATTATGTGAATGATAGAATAGACGCTCATCCTTACTAATATTTTTAGGAAAACAAGATGACAGAGTCTTAGGAAAGAGTTAGGCTAATAGATAGCTTAATACATAATAGACTTAATTATGTATTTAATGAATATCAAAGAGTATGTTATTTTAAATTTGTTGTTCTTGTGGAGGATGAACCTAGGACTTTTGTTATGTTATAAATAAATTTCTTTTATAGTATTCCTTTTGATTTTCCTAAGAGTAGAATACACCAGATCCTATGTATTTATATGTATAGTGATATTTTTAGAACTCTGGCAACTCTCACCTATCTATTTACCTATCATGACCACAACCATATCGGAAGATCGTCCAAATGGACCTTTGAACGAGTGAATGGCACAGAGGTCACAGCTAATTCAGGCGATCGTTATCTTGGATCAGATGATAATCTGGATCCTGAAAATTTGGCTGAGATAGAGAGCTGGTACGAGGTTGATAAATAAAACTGGTCTTTAGTATTTGGTTATGTGAGAGACTATTTTGGGACTTAATTTTGCATATACGATGTAATTATTGTAATTATGTAAATATTATTTTAAGTTCCATAGATTTCGATAAATAGTTTGTAAATTTTTATAATTGATATATGTGATATGTTCATATCTACCACTGAGAATACTAAATTTTGTTTTGTGATATTTAATTTATTTTTTCTTTTATTTTATTATTGTTGTCATATTAGCATTGCAAAGGTCAAAATTCTCATCTACATTCATCTATTTAAAAGAAAACTTGACTACTAATTTGCTATAATAAGTTCATCACATACATGAATTAACATTTTATTTCAAATTATGAGGAATAAGATATATGTGATAAGGATTAACATTTTAAGGTGTTACACACCTTATGCCAACAAAATTGTGGTTTGTATATATTGTATGTTTAAAAAATTATTAAAAAATTTATAAACATAAATTATACCATATAACATTAAAGTAAAAATAAATCTGGAACGATTTAATTTAAACGTGAATTTAGCACCAAAACAATTGTTATATTCGTCATGCCCATTTAAAATACGGGTTTAAGCGGGTTAACCCATTTATCCTCAAAATAAGTGGAACTGGGCGGAATGCGCCCACCCGCAGAGCCATAGAGGGAATTTTGGAGGGAAAACATAGCCATTTATTAGGTTCCGCCAAAATGAAATATTACAAATTTATGTTTCATTGCAGAAAAAGTGACATTTTTGTTCTCTCATCACACTCTCTGGATCTCGGAAAGAGCTTTTGAGTTTGCAAAAATATCGTTCGGGTAAGTTTCCTTTCTGTGGTTTTTATTGTTCGATCGGTTTTTCAAATTATCTCTCTGCTTTGAATCGGTCTCCAAATTGTTAAGGTAATATTCAATTCTCGTTGTTTTGTAGTTTGCTTGGTTTGTAGCCGATTCGTTCTTAGTTCCTGCGCTTTTTCTCTTACGCTGCCAAATTAAGAAAGGGCAAATATTCTCGTGCAAATCACTGTTCACTGCCTGATTTATGATTTGAATATGGAATAAGACGTATGTTATATGTTTGATTAATGTTCTGAGATGGCATAATGCATGTATACCCAAACTCTGAATTTGGGATTCTTTTTAGCTGTGTTATCGACTTATCGCTTTTTAACATTATTATTAGCTTTTCACTCCAGCATATTCTCTTTTTGATCTGTGCTAACTCCCATAAGCAATTTCAGTTTCAGGGGGATACTTTAGCTTTTTTTTTTTTTTTTAATAATAATTTATCTAGTTATTTTTATGAATTGATATAGGGTGTTGTAAACCATAACACCTTTGAGTAAATATGATAAAGGGAAAATGTTTACATTTGAGAATGGGGATTTAACTTTTTCCTTTGTGTTTCATGACAAATAATCATGAGCCAAGGTTGCTATAATTTCATCAAAAGGTCCTTGACACATTAATCTGTTCCCATGCATAGTTAATAAACATAGGGTTTTATGCTAGCCTCAAATGAACGTGGGATGTCTTTCATTTTTATGTTTTGGTGATTGAATCATTGGAGGGTTTACACAGTTAAAACATAAAACATGGAAATGCTTAGCCCTGTTTGTTTGTACATTCTGTCATGCTTTTCTCTTGCTCTCATTGAAGCTGTTATGGAAAGGAGGCATTCTGCACTTGTGCCTGCAAATTAATTCATTGTGATTTAGGTGCCATTTAGTGGTAACCACTTTTTGATGGAATTGGAATAAGAAAAAGGACAAAGTGTTATCCTGATTTTTGTAATGCATGTTCAGTTTTCATGTGTGATGGACCTTGGTTTTATTTTATTCTATGTTTCTTTTAAGGGATTTGCTCTTTGGGAGGAGCAAAAAGGAAACCCTTTCCTAATGTTTTCGATAGATACCTCTTGCTTACCTGAGGATCTTTTTTTATAAACCAGTGTCATTGTGGGCAGCTAACTTATTTCAAATATTTCTATTATTGCTTTGGAATAAACTTTTTGCTATTCGCTGACTCCTTTTTTTTCTTCTTGTCAATATCATGATTGTATATTGAGCTCTGATTTCAACACGATGTGGCCACATGTGGATGCCATACTTTATGTTTCTGCCCTACGTCATCTATCCTTGCTAATGATTTGCTGGAAATTGATTTTTTTTTTTCCTGAATTTTATCTCTTGGCTTACTCCACAGTTTGGTCAATCATCTTTGCTAGTGGTATCAAGCTTGACATGACACAACATTTTAAATAGATAAATTTAAGCCAATACTTAATTTTTAAATTATTGTATGCCTTTGCATTCATTTACATATATTCTTTTTATTTTTGACAATATTTATTATTTTGCAGCTAGTGATAACCGATAAAACAAGTGCAAAAACATTTGCTGGACCTCTAGAGGACATTCCTCTTTGCTCAGTTCTGTATTAGTGGATCCAACATTGCATTTCTGGTAATGCCATGAAATCTATGTTAGTCTGCCTTTTCCAGAAAGTGAACTCTATTTCTAGTCTATTGATTATGATGATGTTTTAAGATTTAAATAATATAAAGAAAATACTGATGACAGAAATAAAAATTGCAATCAAGTTGTAAGTCATGGTTCTGTGTGCAGTTCTATTCTTATAAAATTGCAAATATTTATTGATTCTTTCTTCCAATGAATATTATTAGAAGAATCCATGAAGATTGATTTCTGAGGTGATGTCAAATTTCTAACAATATATATCAATGTGATTATTTACTAGTGTGTGGATGAAGACAATAATTGTTAATTGATTGTCATTCTTGACATTACTTTGATTCTGTTGATATTTGAATTATAATCTATTGAAATGCAATCAAGATTAACTGGTCCAAGGAACTAATAAATCAAATGAAATTCTAAATATGAATATAGATCATGTATCTTAATGTAAATAAGTTAGACTACATCTGAAAATGCACTGTTGGTTTACACATCTGTGTTTATGAAAATATTGAAAATTAATAACAAAATGACTTATTGGGATCAAATATCCCTTAACAGAAATGGGCTTGCTGCTAGGCCACGTTACGGCCAACTGTTTTAGTAGTTGGGCTTATAGTTAAAAAAATAATGATGGGATGATCCAAGTACCAGTATTGACTCTATTCTACATTGCCCTATGGATTTTTGAGTGATGTGGACTGGCTCATATTGAAGGTTCTAAATGTATGTAACTAAAATGCTGAGTTTCATTGGGTCTCACTGTCACAGTTTGTTAAATGCTTATTGAGTTCCATTTTTAGCAACTGACTTGAATTTCTAAGCAAAAGCCTGCCCATTTGAAACCATCTCTTGTAATTTTTTTCCCTTTCTTTGCATTTTCCATAATTTGTCAAATTTCATCAAGCACATACAAAACTTCCGTTTTATTTTCAAAGTTATATGATCTGTAATTGTGAACTTTTAACCAACTCATCTTAATCTCTTGGTGAAATTTGTCTTCTGGTGAAGATTTTGAATATGTATGGGAGGAAAGCTTGCCAACTTGTGAAAGAATTTGCAAGTGGAGAGAAAGGCCAACTTGCACCATTCAATGTAAGCTCCGATCTTCATTTTTCAGTTGGATATTCAAATTAGTTTTCAAATGTTGGGTTATTTGGAACCTCCTTGTGTTGTGGAAATTAATGTACACTACTAATATGTAATTGCAAATCCTATTTTGGCACTTTAATTATGTTGAATGGTTATTTTTAAGTTTTTGGAAAAAGTTGCTAATCTTGTGTTAACCACATTCAAGTTTGCTGCATCTGGGGATCTACTGGTTTCAAATTTCAATGACTAATGCCAGAAAATGTTGATGCTTGGTGATGGGAATTTGTGTTAGGAGAATCTCATAGTAATCTCATTGGGAATGCTTGAATTCATATTTAAATCTTGTTTCTGCCTTAAACCTTATCCTCAACTACTAGACTACAGCTGGTTATTGCTCTGCTTCCTTATATGATCTGGATCTATACTAGTTTGCTTTGGATTTAACTGCATATGATCATTTACCACTTCAAAAGTATCGCAAGTTAGCGAGTATATAGTGATGAATTCAACTTTGAATATAGCTCTCTACGTTATACAAACCCTTAAAAGTTGAGATGAAAAATAAAAATTGTTTGCACAGACAACATCACATCGAGACTTTAGTCAGGATTTGAGTACCTATTTCACATATGAATTCTTTTTCTTGAATTCATTAATTGCTTGTCTCTTTTGGTCCCTCTGCTGCTTTTCAAATTTCTCAAGCATTTTTACCATTTTCATAGATCTCCCCAATCTGAAGGGATAAAAAAGACCAGAAAATTCTTCAAGAGGCATGATTACAGTCAGAACTTATTTTGGTCTACCATGATTCATGACATTCTAGTCTTAACATCACCCACCATCCTTGGATTGTGAAGTATATGTAATTTATGATATTGCTACTTGATATCTCAATTCTCTTTACTCTTAATGTTTATATCTATCATGGACCTTTTCCTGCACTTTTATTCGAAACTCATTATCCAATCTTACATTGCTGTGAATATATGCATACTTTGGCTTGATAGTTCTTACAATGATCTTGTAGAGTGACTTGTTTGAACAAGTGGTTGCAGAATGCAGTCAACATCATCTTGAGCTTCAGTCCTTGATAAGGTAATGTTAATAAGGTGTCTAACTTTTTCTTTCCATGTTTGTCAGCTATTATTTATTGGAGTATGCTATCTCAGTTGCAAACAGGCATGAGTTTTGTTGAATGACTGCTAGTGTGTGGTCAAACCAAGTTGCAACGTCAAATAAGAATTGATAAAGTCACATGCATATTTTCCCCAGAACACCACTTTTCATTGCTGTCTGCTACCCCTTTTATTTGTGACTTGTTTTGTGTAAACAGGAAGATACAGGAAGAAGGTTTGGATGTCCAAACGGCTAGAAATGCAGATCACTATGGAGCTCTCATCCACCATCTTTCTTTAGTCCGAAATAAACGTTGCCTAATGGCCTATGTGTAAGCATCTCTTTGAAATGCTATTTTTCCATCGTAGTTCTTATGTTATGTATTGTCCTTAAATTCTGTCACTTTCCACCATATAGGTATAATCGTGCAGAAATTATGCGAAGCTTGCTATGGAAGATAGGGCATGTGCTTCCTCAAGAAGTTGAAGAGAAGCTTTGCCATTCAGAGGAAGAGTATTTTAAGAAGCATTCTGCAGCATTGAAATCTTATATGTCAAAACTGCTGGTTGATCTGACTGTGGTAAGCTCTCCACTCCTCGTGTCCTTTCCTTCTCACACACAAGCATATGTGCCCATGTATACACTCAAAAGCAGAATACAAACTTCAATCACACGTATGTGTATCAATGTATGCTTTCAAGATGTTCTATCTGTAATCAATGCCTTGCTCATTTATTTAGCCCAGTTTGCTTATAATTTAAAAATCACTGATTGATAAAAAATTAATTTTGGTTGTGGCATAAAACTATCACCAGCTTTTAAGATAACGCCTTGTTTGTAAAGTGAGAACAATTGTTCTTCCATTTCAGTTCAAATTACAATGTAATATTCATTTTTGGTTGCCGCTTAATTGAAACAAAAATCTTGCAGTATTTGAATATAATTCACATGATGATGCAAATAAGGAATATTAAGTATTTGGGTTGGAAACTTTTATGAATCTAGTTATTATACTAATAAGTAATATAAGAAAGGATTATCGTTCAGATACTTGTTCCTACAGTATACACTTTAAGTTCTGTTCCTGAATCAATCGGGTAAAACAGTAAACTTGGGGTTCTTGATGCACATCTCTTTTATGTGTCAGTTATTGGATAACTGGTAAGAACACCAAGCTGAGGGCTGGGAACAGTGTTGTGTCTTATTCAGTTCACTATTCTTGTGGTTTCTAGTAGCAGAAAATTTGTAATTTGACAGTAAACTGCGATATTATTTATAAAATATGTATTTTATAGGATATGGTACCGCCAAAAGATCCTTACATCCAAGTAAGGGTTCTTGATGACATTGGAGAAGGAATTGTGCTTAGTGATAATAAGACTGCCAATTTTGCCCGCCATTCAATGCACTTCCTGAAGCGAACTGATGCGGAGCAATTTATCTCACGGGTTAAGTTGTCTTGCAGCTCACGATATATATTGCAAAATAGTTTGAAATGCGACCTGATTTTTCTACTTTCTGAAATATCAACAGGGTCTAATGGAGGAGCTCACGGGTTGACCTGCTAGGCAATTATCTTGAAGATCTGTAGATGAGAAAGACTGACTGGGAATTTGATACTGATTATGTAATATAATTTTTCACACTTTGTTAAATGACTTTTTTAATCAATAATTTCACCCATCTTTATAGAACAAGAACTCAAGGTTCATTTGTTTGTGTATTATATATATATATATATATATATATAGTGCTCATATAGGATCATAGATGGTAACTGCCTCTTTTAAGTTTGTGTTATTTTAGTTGTATGGGTTTTCAAGTCTTAAGTTGCTGACTCAAATCATATTTTTGTATTATATATATAGTGCTCATATAGGGTCATAGATGGTAACTGCCTCTTAAGATTGTGTTATTTTAGTTGTATGGGTTTTTAAGTCTTAAGTTGCTGACTCAAATCATATTTGTGTTATGGTTGGGTAAAGATTTAAACTCATTGTCTAAGTCAAACATAAATTACTAGTTTTTTTTTTTTTATGTAATGGATTTTTTTATTCACTAAAAAAACATAAATTACTTAAAATTAGTACCATTAGCCAATTTAATTATTGAATTTATAAGAGTTGCATTTCTAATTTTGGTGTTATCAATCAATTTAATCTTTGAATTTGGTACAAGTCAATTACTTTTAGCAGTGTCTTACATATCATTCGAAGTGTTAATATGATGCCTGGAAATGGTGGGTTATGTTGACAATATTTATTGTCAAATCTGAAGAGTTTAGAAGGGAAATTTCCAAAACAGTGAACCCTAATTTCTTCCTTCATCTGTAAATTTTCTCAAAAGTCCAAGGACATATGCCTCCTACAAATACAAACACAAAGCTGCAAAAGTATTATCCTAAGCCCAAACATTATAACGTTCCCATTTTATGAATATCTTTCATTTTTGTGTTCTCCATTTTATTACTCTTTCACTCATAAAGTGCTATATATTTTTTTAGATAAATAATTTAAATTTTGACGTTGTGGCCGTCTTCAATACTTATTTTCTTTTGACTTCTTTCAACACCTGATGACTTATGTCATGTTGTGCGTCTCGTTCTTTTATTTTTCGTTTTAAGTTTCTTCCGATCCCTGTTGATGTAGAGTAGGCTATTATTAGTTACCCAATATTTAAGAAACCAAAAATAAATAGTCAACTTACTTTTATCTTTTTAGATTTCGTTAAATTTTAATAGATTTATTTTATATTTTATTAGAATAAGTTAGTTTATTACTTTGTGTTTTTAGATTTAGGTTTGCTTAATTTACTCTTTTAATTTTAATTAAGCTTTGTTGGTCAATATATAAATCTTCATTACAAATCTTAAATTGATTTGATTTTTGAATATTAATATCTTTTTTAAGACAACTTAGATATATTATTATAGATATTTATTCGATCAGGATTAAAGTTTCAAATTAATTATATATATCAAATTTTAATATTGATGTGTTGAATTTTAATGTAAATTTTTTTATTTATATTATTGAAGTAAAATTTTAACTTTAATTTGACTACAACATTTACTTTTTCTCCTAATTTTTCCTTGTTTCAAATAACCTATCTAATGATTTTGTGAAAGTATACACATGACGGTAGTTTGACAGTATTTGCAGTAATTCCGATCGAGATATATATAAAATTATAAATGATCACAGTCGTCATATAACAATTAAATTTTTATAATAAAATATTCTTTCCAAGTCCAATCAATATTTTAATTTAGATCTTTTAGTCGGGAGCATTCTACGTATGGTAAGTTTAAGTTTTTTACTGAGAAATTTTTTCCAGTCATGAAATTCGAGTTTAAGAGCTTAATTTTAAAAAAACATCTATCACTTAAATTAACTCCGGTTGATTTAACATATCAAGAATGTCAGTCAATCATTTTTTCATTAGAAGTTTTTTGTTATTACTTATTTTCTTGTAAGTTGTACTATTTATGTCAAAATAGTTGTTTTTAATAATTGATCTATCTATAAATTGTAATATATTTTTTAGTGTTTTTAAATGAAAGTATTTTTTAATATTATTCTTTTATCATAAATATCAAATAGTTTTTTTTTCTATATTATGTATTTATTTATTTTTAATTTAAAATTTTAAAATTTATTTTAATAAATTATTTGTTCTTAATAATTATAGTATTTAATATTTTTAAATTTATTAAATTTTGAAATAGTCATATAATTTTTTTAAATTATATTTTATCCTCTAATTGATTTGCATCTATTTGAATTAAGCAAAATATCTAATGTAAAAGTAGTTGAACTTATTATACTTTGATCAATTATAGATCCAAAATACTTTTTAAATTATTTGAAAATTTAAGTAAATAACTTTTCTGAACTAAAGAATAACGATTTACCATTTTATTTAATACAGTGTTATTTTCCTGAAATTTTAATTTGGAGGTTTTTTCGATTAATCTAAGTTTTATTTAAGGTTAATTAAAAGTAGAAAATTAGTAATATTTATTGAAATAACATTTCGATTTATTGATAAATTGATATATTTTGTGTTAAAAATTCTAATTTTCATAACATTTATAGGCCATTTCTTAACAAAAGTTGATAAGACTGGACTTCATTACAAAATGATAAGACGACTTATTTTAAAATCTTTTAGTTGTAGATATTGATAGGAAAATTACTGAAAAGTTGAATAATAATATAAGTAAGAGATAAAGTTAATATTATAAAACAATGAAGAGTTTTATTTAAATTTTTTATTTAAAATACATCTATTACTTTTTATTACAAAATTTAATGGCCACTTAAATATGTCTTTGTTCTTTAAAATATATTAAGTTTAAATTTTAATTTTTTTACAAGGTTATTTTTTTAACCTTACATTTTTAATTCTTTAATATTTTAGTCTAGCCTCAGCTTCAATGAAAATATTTACGTCCATAACATTGTACATTAATTTTAAAAAAAAATATAAAATATTTTAATAAAATTAAATTTTTTCTTAAATTATGAGAACTAATTTTTAATTTTTGAATAAAAAATTAATTTGATCTAAGTAATTAATGTTCAACAATTCATGACTTATCAATTACTTTTTATGTGTTTTTAGAGTAGTTTCAACATCATTCTCTAAAACTTAAATATTAAAGTAATTCGTGCTTTTCATTTTATATAATTCGGTATCAAATGTAATACTTTAATTTAATTTTTAAATAAATAAATTTAATAAAAATAAGAATAATAAAAATTTTCATTCAAACGGTTCTCAATACATAGTTCAATAAAATATTTTAAAATAAAAATAAATTATAAGTTCATATCAAAAGATTATTATAGGACTAGTTCAAATACATCAGAGTTTCTAAAATAACTTTCTAAGTCTTATAGCAGTTTTATCTATCCCTTCACTGAGCTCAGTATTAATCGTCTTGGTCACCCGAAAAATAAATGTAAGGGTAAGTACTCTACACTATCGCACACAAGCACAAAGACTCACCTCACACGTTTCACGCATATGTCAACATAATTTCAAAACATGCATCAAATAAACATTAAATAACACTTTCAACATTCTATTACAACTCACATACAGGTGCGCTCACTTTACCATCAAACAATCTACACACATGCGCTCACTGCACGTAGTCATACAGATTGTGACACTGTGATAACAGATTCCTGACACATGCACTCACTGTACCATCAAACACTCTACACATGTTACATGACTATTTTAAATACATCATATTTTCAAAATAATATTCTAAGTCCTATGGCAGTTCCATCCATCCTTTCATTGAGCCCAGTGCTGATCGTTTTGGTAACCTGAAAAATAATTATAAGGATGAGTACTCTACATTATCACACACAAACACAGAGACTCACCTTGCATGTTCTATCATTTCATAATTTAATTTAAAACACTTATTACAATCACACGCACGTCAATACACATATCAATCATTTATATGCGTATACTCACTGTACACGAAAGTAAATCACATCAATTTTCACAGGGTGCACTCACTGCACCTCCAATCAATCTACACATACACAAGTGCGCTCACTGCATGTTAGCCACGCTTATTGTGGCACTGTGATCACAGATTCCTGATGCCCTCAACCTTAGGGACTTACTCAGTTTCACACCATGGATGGTCGTCAGATAACCCCCGCGTCACGGATACAACATGTGTGGTCACGGGCCCCTTAGCAAAGGTGTTAGTTAGAGGCTGAGTCAGGAGGGAAGTGTTTGGCCTATGGTGCATCCACGCTCACTGTTGGTGTCATCACAACCCTCTTTTCTCCAACGTATTTCTACCGTCCCTATTTTTCACACTCTCAGTGTATCACTGAACCATTCATAGCTTTCAACATATTCAAACACATTCACAATCACATCTAACATGCCATTGACACACATTTCCAACTATTCAAATTATTCAACATCCAGTGATGGCATGCTAACACATAATTTCATCCACAATCTCAATCACAATGCAATATTCACCTTCACACACATGTCACGTATGCCCACATCCAATCATATTACACATAAACATCCAATTTTCCTAGGACCTCACCAAAATCAAGCTAAATCAAGAATCTTTTATTTAAACACACTAATTCCTACATTTTATCTCAACCACATTGTGACTCAGCAAATATTTAGATTTTTAGACAAATGGAGATAGGGTAAAGTCCCCCTTACCTCAAATTGAAGACCCAACACAATCCAATGGTAGAAAATGTCCCCTACACAGATTTTCGTCCTAAACAAATGGAAAACTCTATGAGAAACCGAGAAATCAAGAAGAGAAACGAAAAATTGAAACCCTAACTCTTAGAACTTACCTCCAAATGCCCTAAACTCAACCACAACCTTTAATTTTGCTCACAATCGGCTTTGGAAGCAGTTTAATAAGTGAAATAGGGTTAGGAGTCGAGAGAATCGAAGAGAGTTTGAAAAGAGGGATAAGAAATGAGCATTCCAAATCCTAAACCCCTCAAATACCCCTTTTGGTCACGACACTCTCGCTGTAACGAGAATATCTCGCTATAGCGAGGTTTCCTTGCTGGAACGATACCTTTTCTTGCCACAACAAAATCTCAGAGGAAACTGCACTCTGGTTTTTGCAGAATCTTGCTACAGGGAGACTCT